AGCGAAAAATAATCTTAAAAATTTCAAGACTTAAAGCCAAAAAACCCTATCCACATAAACCAAAACCCTATAAAACTCTTCTCATTCTAGCAGAGGATAGCCACATAAACCAAAACCCTATCTACCGCACATTTTTGGGCTAAAAGCTGACGAAACGTTAATTCAGAAAGACGTGGTCACTCTTCTCATTCTAGCAGAGGATAGCCACCGCACATTTTTGGGCTAAAAGCTGAAGAAACCTTAATTCAGAAAAACGTGGTCAGTGGGTTTAGATAATAAATATTAGTTTTTTCGTTTTTTTAAATATATATGTAACCATTTTTTTTTTAAATCAAGTAAGATATCTTTCATTCCATTAAAAACTAGTACAATGCTAAAAAAAAACCACGTAAACAATTACACATAAAGTAAAAGGTCTAAGCAAAATGAGAACAACAATCTAAGATACATCGGGATATGGAGTTCACAGAGAGAGTGAGAGTATATGTAACCATCTAATTGAATATATTGGTCTTATACTTTTGTCATGTCAGTGATAAGTGGGTTTCACTCATGTCACATAAGTAAATTAAACGGATATGTAACAGGCATGATAAAAATCAGACAAAAGTGGAACGAAAATTGAGTTCTAAGGTATTAAATAGAAAAATTTGAAGTTCAAAGAGAAAATAAAGTTAAAATCCAGTGTGAGGAGGCATAGAAAAACATGTCACATAAGTAAATTAAACGAATATGTAACATTGTAACAGGCATGATAAAAATCAGACAAAAGTGGAACAAAAATTGAGTTCTAAAGTATTAAATAGAAAAATTTGAAGTTCAAAGAGAAAATAAAATTAAAATCAAGTTTGAGGAGGCATAGAAAAAATAGGAATGTTTTTTTTTTATGGTAACGTAAGGGAGTAGATCATTCAAAACTAACTCAATAAATTATTACAAATAGTTCGAGTTCTAGATACTCTAATCATATCATCAAATAAATGAATTCCAATCCATTCAAGTGGATTCTCAAAATAATAATACCAAAAATTCATATTATAACTCTAATTGGCAAGACTGTCCGCAATAACGTTGAATCAATACAGTTACACATCAATTATCATTATCTCTCTTTCTACTTATAGTTCCCTAATTATCTACTCAGAAAAACGTTCAATGCTCCATTTCGATGACTCTTCGTTTATTCCCTTTGTTTATGTGCAGTGTCCCCTTTTTGTCTAGTTAAAAGAGATTATTAAAGACGGAAGATCATTAGCATTTTAGTTAGTTAGCTGAGGTGGTTGTTCATTAATTAGCTGATTCCCCTTTTCTTAGCTGAAAGGATAATACATATGAGAATAATGAAAGCATACGCCCAGTTTATAGTACTGGAAGCCGAATTGGATTGAAAATGATGAATGAGGCAAGTTGAACAACACATAAAGGTATGATTGTCGAACTACATTTCGTAGTCATACTCTCCTCCGTTAAAGCGAGTAGAATAAAATTTCTTAGCAGTATATACTTTAATGTACTAAAGTTTCGTAAGCAGCAACAAATGAACTATTTGATTTGTGACTGACGTTCATAAGGAGGAGAAGAAGGTTCGAAGAAATATCCTGAACAAAATATATACCACAACTTATGTAGTTCCAACATCGTGTGAGTACTACCAAACCTAATTGTGGAACTACGTTAATTGTGGAACATGTCATATTCATATGGCTGTGGTCCTCATACATTATCACGAGAAATTATACCATGACACAATACTACCAGCTGCGTTTTTGCTGACTGGTGATACCCCACCAACACCAGGGCCACCATTGGCTGCGCCACTAGGACCTCCGAGCTCGGAATCGGCAGATATGTAATGAATTTATCGACCACCACCATCAAGCCACCTCGCGCTTCCATTTGATCCTTTTGGTGTCGTATTCGTGTTGCCGTGTGAATAGTGATTCAGTGAAGACGTCTGAATATTTTCATGGATAATTAAACCCATGAATTTTGTTATTTTTAAGGAGAATGTAAATGGCAGAAGGCTGAGAGTTCGTAAGGTCGACGCGAATGACATCGCAAGGATTTTTCGCAAAGAATAGCGACCCCTTGTTATTTCTTTCTCCGGTTACAGACCAGGTCTCACACATGGCCAGGTTTGATTGGGTAGTATCACCACTCTGTAAAGCCAGCTGGTGATACAGTATCAGTGTATAATTTCTCCATTATCATGATGCATGTGTACGAGACAGACCTGAAACCTTAAATCCTATGTGGCCACTTGGTCCTATTTTCCACTTGGTCATATTTTTCAAATCATGTTTTTACCACATTTTTAATAGAGATAAGCCCGACCATTACAAGTAAATCTCATCTCTATCAAAAATATATTATAAATGTGATATGAAAATATAATAAGAGTAATATTTTTACTGTTTTCTTGCATGTCACGGAAAACTCGTCCTCGCAGACTTTCAACAAAAACGAGTGTACAACTTTTGTAATTTTCATTGTTTTTTTCTTATAATTATAGAATGGAATCTCATTACTGATCGACCAAAAGAATAGCAACCGCCTTAAACCTTAACTTCGTGAAACTTTTCATTGTTTTTGTAAACATTGATATTCGATGCATCTTCCTTTTTCACATACCTACTTGTAGATTTTTCAATCACGATAGCTCTATAGAGCATGCATAACCAAGGGATTAAACAAAATTTTAAGAGTGGTGTTAGATAAATCACATTTTGCAAATCATATGCGAACCATCTGATCTCTAATAGGTTAAATTTGCCTCATGAAACCCTTAAGTATTTGTGCCGGAAGCATGATCTAGTCTACCATGTGTCAAAATACAAGTGGTTGAATACTTACAAAAATAAATTTCCCACCACTAGTATTATAATACTTGGTATACCGAACTGTGTTTCCGACAAACAGATTTTTGTTATTTCTAAGGCATCTGCTACGTACTAGCTAGATTTCATGCAGAACGTAGGAATGAATATTATGATGCTAATAGATGCGTTGTATATACTTGAGTTGGGTTAGACTATCATTTTCGATTGTGTTGAAATCGGGCTTCAGGCGTCCCTTACAGGATCATCGATGTAACTGCAGTTTTTTCAACCAAAAAAGAATCATTTTTCAAGCAAAAATAACCAAATATTGAATAAATATGCCATTTGAAACTGTTCGAACGATTTCATGAGGTCCGAAAAGTTTTTTTTTTTATAGAGATTATATTCACACATCCCAATTTACTTTTCCCACACCTTTTTAATTTTTTAATATTTTAATATTTTATACACACCACTAACACTTGATAAAAAAATATTAAAAAATTAAAAAGGTGTGAGAGAAGTAATTTGGGGTGTGTGACTATAATCTCCCTTTTTTAAACTAAAAAAATATGTAACCCAATAAAAAATTCTAGCTAGAAACATTAACAAAATATTCTATATGAACTTTAATTAGAAATTTACGATGCTGCAAAAATTTGCTAAAACCATAAAAAAATCATGTGTTCCTTTTGTAAAAATGAGATGAATTTTTGCGACATCTTTCCCATGAGCTTTAAGAAAATATTATAAGCTATTTGTAAGCGATGTACTATTTATTAAGTCAAATAAGTATAATTATTAATAAAAATTAAGTCGAAATATAGAAAAATCAATGTTTATTACTTGTATGGCCCAAACAGAATTGGTCGACTGGAACATCCCCAGAATGTGTAGATGAATTTTAAGAAGCTTACGGTGCTTCAAAACATGATGCAAAAGTAGGTTGTATGATGGTTTTGTATGAGTTTCAAAAACCGAGTAAACCTCGTCCTCGTGTCGTGAGTGTTAGCTCATACGCTTTATTAAACGTGTATGAAATCTTTTCCGTGCGAATCGAGGAAAATGTTTTAGGTCATACTATTTATTGAGTCAAATACGTGTATTATTATCAATATTTAGAAAAAGTTAACGATGCGGCGAGAATATATGAGAAAACAAGAGTTATAGCTCACAATTTTTTTAATTTTGGATTTTTATCACAAATAATTCTTGAAATTAACTCACATAATTAAGGTGGTCTTTTAAATTGAAAATCGATCAATGTAATCTTTGATTATGATTGCTGAAAATCAATGTAATCATTCTGTTAAATTTCCTCAAAACTTCTGTTAAGGTCTCCCGAGATAGAGTCAGCACGCTACTCCACTGCACCCTTCTTCCTCCCTCCCTGGACCCTTCCTCTCTCCCTGTAAATCCAAATCCCTGCACCCTTCCTTCCTCCCTGCAAATCCAAATTCATGCACCCTTCCTCCCTCCTTGCAAATCCAAATCCAAATTCGTGCAAATCCAAACCACCACCATCCAAATTCCTGCAAGTCCAAACAACCACCACCTTTTAAACAAATTTGAAAATTAAAAAAAGAACAGAGGAGATCGAACGATCTCCTTCCCCCTCCGACCCAATCCTGTAATCCCTTCCACACCCCACCCTACTCTCCTGATTACTCTCTCTGATTACTCCAACGTTTTTTTTTTTGTCTTTGGAAGAACCAAAACATGCAAGAAACCAACCCATGATTTCGACCTCTCTCTCTTTCCCTCCTCCCGGTCTCTCAAAGATTGTGTCTTTCTGCAAAACATGGTGGGGAAGATGGTGGCTTGGTGCTTGGGTTGGGTTCTCACAGGTCACGGCCTCTCACGAGGTGTTTTATTTTTTTAATTTATTTAATTGTTATTATTTTCAGAATATAAAATTATTTATTTATCAATTTATTTATTTATGTGGGACCCCTACGTGTGCCACGTCAGCATACTAGCATAAGTTTTGACGGAAATATAACAGAATGACGACATTTATTCACAACAATCGTATTCAAGAACTACATTGATTGATTTTCAAATTCAATGACTATGTTAATTGAGTATGTTAGAGACCATTTCTAATAAAAAAAAACCTTTAATTTTTTTAAGAAAATGCGACTGTTATTTTTAGCACAATCTTTTATGCGGTTAAGAAAATATAATAAGCCCAATAGCTACAGTCGCTTCTCAAATTCCACACATAAATAAGATGATCCTCTTTTTCTTTTTCTTTTTTTTTTTTTTTTGATGGAATAAATAAGATGATCCTGCTCGAGCAATTTTGTCATGACCTAAAAGATCAGCTAAAGCGTTCGTCAACCTCACCCTCCTACAACTTCCAGAGATAACTCATACAGAAGGCAAAAATAAAGAAATTAAGCAGGCAGGAAAGGTGCCTTTACAACACAGATGATACATTTTCGGTTCCCATCCAGTGAGTCCAAACTAGCATAACGAAACATGTCTCATGCATCCTGCTTTGTGGCCAATTCTGCGTACCAACAACATTTACAGAGCTATCAAGTTCCATAGCTCGTAAGCAATATAATATCTTCATCTTCCAACTTACCAAGGTGATGGTTTTTATTTTGTTCACTTCGAAGAGGGAGAATTGAGCTTCTTTTCGAGTAGCTTGGCCTTTCGAAGAGCATCCAAGGCCTCGGCTTGTTTTCCAGCACGTTTCAAATTTACCGCCTTTACCTTCTCAGCTTTGATCTGTTCTTCCAGCTGACTTCTATCTTGGATTATGTTATTGCTCTTACCAACATTAACTTTTGAAGGCTCTGGTCTTTCCGTGCCTTGAGATAAATTACTACCACTTTCAATCCCAATTTCTTTCAAGGCAGCCAGTAGTTGAGGATCAAGAAGACCCTCAACAGAGATATCATCCACTGATTCTACTTTGTCAACGGTTGTGGAATCATGAGCAGCTGACGCCTCCAACTGATTCTCTAGTGCCTTTGCTAATTCAAACTCGGCTTCTGCTTCTTCCATCCGACCCTCCCTACGCAACTTCATGGCCTGACGTTTGTGGCCAAGAGACTCCTGTTGCAACTTGAAGCGATCACGACTGGACAAAGGTTTTGGGTCCGAGGATGGTGAACCGTGATGCTTTTGGCTAGAAGATGGGATGTCTCGTGACTGTAAATGGTTGGGGTTGCCTCTGCTCGCCAGCTGTATTTTGTGCGGCACTGGACGCCTCACTTGAAGTAGTTTTGGACTGAGGACTACCTTCATCAAGACGCTTCTCCAATAACTTTGCCTGCCTTAGTTCCTCGCGAGCTTCGGTCAGTTTCCCTTCTCTCTTTAAAGCTAATGCTCTCCTCTTAAAACCCAGGATTTCTTGCTGAATGGCACTATGGTTGCTCTGAGAAGCAGATTCCTGAACCGAATTTGCTTCATTAACATCTCGCTTATCTTCCTGTTTATCAAATTTATTGTTTTGGCTTCCCAGATTTACATTCGAACATGTCTGGGATCCCAACTGAACAGGAGGACTGGCAGTAAGGGAACCAACAGAATCAAATTTTAGGCCATCATCTTGCTTTTCAGCAGGTTTTTCAGCAGGCCTTTGAGAACTTCTCCAGTCATCCCCCGCCAACAAATCCACTAAGTTTCCAGATTGGACAGGCGCAGAAATCTGATTAACGCCTTTGGCTACTCTTTGGTCGTCTGGAAAATAATTTTCACCCGAAGCACCCAATTCCACTGGTAATGGTTCGTTTCCCTTAGCTAACTGTGAGGTTAGAGGAACAGACTCAGAATTCCTTGCTGACAACTTAACTACTCCGTCAATTGGACCCATTGCCACCTCAGTAAACCTTCTAACATCTGTATCATGCTTCAACTTCCCTGGCTTTTCAGTGTTAATCAGTGATCCGAAATTATCAGATTTCTCTTCCTTTGAATCATCATGCAGACTCAAATCCTTTGGGGCTTCCATCTCTTCAATTTGAATCTCTAGCACTTTTGCCATTCTCAAAACTTCCTCAGCTTCTTTGGTTTCTCCCTTCCGTCTAAAGACAAGAGCCTTTCTTTTTAAATCCAGAAGTTCCCTTTGGATTGCACCCTTATTTCTTGGTGCAGAAACGGCTGGTTTGGAAAAGGAAGTCCCCTCTGAGAAAAGTGCTGGGTCCTGCATACTATTTCCTGTTACATTACCTCCCTCTCCTTCCTCCTCAACACTATTAGGAGGAGGTTCAGTGATAACTTCCTTGGGTGCTTCCATCTCCATCATCTGGCCCTCTAGTGCTTTCGCCTTTTTTAGCAGTTCTTCTGCATCCTCGGTCTCTCCCTGGCGCCTCAGAGCAAGAGCTTTCCTTTTCAACCCTAAGAGTTCCCTCTGAATCTCAGCTTTGCTTCTCCTTGATCCTCCAGCTGGGACATTAGCCGGGGCTTGAGTTGCAGAGGGTGCACTGACCTTCATGGAGAGAATATCCGTTTGCTTAGAAGGTTCCAACGACGAGTTGGTCCCTTCATTATCGTCATCATTCCAACCCAAATTCTTTAGCATAGAAAGATATGCTGGATCATGCATATCTTGATCTGTTACATTTTCTCCTTCCTCGTCTGCAACTGGCAGACTTTCAGAGACATTGGGAAGCTCATGTGCCAAATCTGGGACTTTATTGCCAACAGTCCCAGGCATTGCCTTCTGTACAGAACCATTCTCTAGCTCTTCAAGCTGCTGTTCAAGAACCCTGCCCTTCTTCAATTCTTCGTCAGCCTCATTTAATCGTCCTTCCCTTCTCAGAGAAAGGGCTTTCTTTTTCAAGCCCAGAAGCTCTTTCTGAATCATTAATTTACTCTTCCTTGCAGGTTTGGAGTCCGTACGTTCCATTGCACTAATATTTCCATCATACACCATAAATGACTTGGACGATTTATCAGCAGTTTGTTTATGCATTGTCGCACGATCATTTGCAACATTTCCCTCTTCAGACTCAAGGCTTTCAAGGTCCCTTTCAAGTAGTTTTGCCCTCTGTAGCTGCGCCATTGCCTCTTGAACATTACCTGCCCGTTTATGATTAACTGCCTCTCTTTTTAATGATTGAATTTCGCTTAATAGAGCTTCCCTGTCAACGGCAGCAATCTGGGGAGAAGTTTCCGCATTATTAGAATCTTGAGACCATCCTAAAGATTGTAAAGCAGCAGCTATTTCTGGGTCCTCCATATCCTCATCTGTCACTTCGAAATGACCATCCAGATCATCAGAAGCACTAATAAGATGATCAAAATTAAAGCCATCCTCCTGCTCATACTGAATTGAAAATTCTTCCTGTTTGTCATCATCCATACCACGAATCAACACAGATATTTCATCATCAGATTCTTCAGCCTCAGCCAAGAATTCCTGTTCCTCGAGTTCCTTCTCTAGGATTTTAGCTCTTTTCAGTTCCTCCTTAGCTTCTGTAAGTTTCCCATCACGCTTCAGCATGAGAGCCTTCTTTTTAAGTGCAACAACCTGGGCTTTGTCAATGGCCCTAGTACCTTTGTTTTTATTGGTCTTTTGTGAGGCCTCTCCCAAAAGAGAAGAAAGTTCACCCTCCAAACTCAGACTTGCTTGCTTTTTGTTTTCATCAAGGAGATCCATATCGGACCATCCTAGTTCTTTAAGCTCAGCAGAAAGATCATCTTTTTCTTTACCCACTGAAGGAGTGACCTTATTTCTTCTTCCAGATTCAGAAGGCCCATCTTTAATCTGGCTCTCCACCACATTGGCAGAGAGTAAAACCTTTCTACGCTCTTTTCTCAAAGATATTTCCAATGCGTCAGCCTGCCTCTCAAGCTCCTTCCCTCTCTTAAAGGCTCTTAATGCTTCCGCAGACTTCCCTTCTCCTTTAAGAACTTTATACTTCTTTTTCTCATCCAAAGCTTGCTGACGCAATTCCTCAGGAGAAGCAGATCCACCACCACTCTGTAAATTAGGCTCATCAACAGAAAGACTTCTATGTATTTCTCCCACCCCCTCGTGGCTGGAATTTTGTTGACCATTTGAACATGATGCACTACTAGCGGCTCTCTGCATACTGGAAACCACATTACTATTTGACTCTTGTCCTAATTCCTTTCCGTCACTACCAAGAATCTCGTCCAAAACTTCATCCTCATGATTTGATGTCAACTTTGAACTGCCTGCACAGAAGTTATATGTTTGATACACAAGGTAAAATTAAAGGGCAGAGTAGTTAAACAAAAAAGCATGTGGCAGAAAGACATAACTAGCACAACCAGTGATTGAACAGACAAAAATGTTCAATGCACAACTGAACTACAGACAACCTTAGAAGAAATCAAAGACAGTACCTCTCCCAGCTCTACTCTTGTGTCCATATCTCTCAATGCGTGCTGCTTCTTCTAGCTTTTTACAAGGGTCACATATACGCACAGGCGAATCACCTTGCCCACGTAAGAGCATTCTTTGCTGGGTGCAACTGTTGCAAAACAAGCCACCACACCTCCTACAATGATGCTGAAATTCCAAAATGTATATTGTCAAGAAACGGGATTGATAAGAGACTACATAAGAAATATTACATCGAATCATTTCAGAACGTTAAATAAGATTATCACATCGAATCATATCACAACACTAAATAAGATTAAGTTTCATAGACAGTCCTATACTACAGTTTTGTACCACTAGGCAAAGAGACTTATGGGCCTGTTTGCAACTCCTTCAAGAGCGGCAAAACAGCACGTTCTGGCAATCAACAAGCAGTTCTCACTATGTTTGCGAGAAAAACTTAAATGTACTTCTGGTTTAGGAGAAACACCCCTAGGAAGCACTTCCAAGAGGCTTTTCAGGAAGCACTTGGAACTTCGATGCGCTTCAAATAAAACCACTTTTAGCAAAAGCACTTATAAACAAAAGTGCTTCCTACAGAAACAATCCTAAAAAGGGTCCTAAGTGTACATCATTAAACCCATTTTTAGCACAACACAAACTGTAAATCCCCATTCCAATCTCTAAACAATCCTGTATCTCTACATTACAAACAAACAATCACCATTCTTTCCAAAACATTCAAAACAGACAGCCTATGATTCCCCACAACGTTCAAAACAGAAAGCCAAGAATCGAAGAATCCCAATCTTGGTCGAATCCACATATAAAACAAGGAAAGCTGCAATCTTTCGGCACCCAAAAATCGAAAACTGAAGAAATACAAAAATTAGTAAAGAATTCACAGATGGGTCATTGGATCGAGAGGGGCAGAAGAAGAAGTGAACCTTGCGATTGATGAAGGTGAACTGAGAAGAACACCCCTGGCAGTGTGAGGCGTCAACCACCCAAGTATTCCCTCTCAGTGACGGCTTCGGCGGCAGCCCGATCTTCTCCAACATCTTTCCGCTCCGATTTTTCCGAATCAATCAATTAATAACCAAAAAACCATGAAAAACAAATCGAATTTCTCTGAATTTTTTTTTTCAGCTTTAACTTTCTCACGGATCTTAAGCTTTGATACCCACCAAAAATAAATAATTAATCAATCCGATGGGTTTGATGAATCAAGAAGGGAAAGGAAAACTGATTTGATGACGACGACGATGTCACGTTGGGTTAGAAGACGCATCAAAACAGCGTTTGCAACGCGGGTAATCTGACAGCGACAGTTTGAGGCCTCGACGACGACGACGATGACGATGACGATGACGACGACGACTCGTTGGGTGGGACCGTGGGAGTTGGACAAGTTTTTAGTTTTTTTATGAAACGACGTCGGAGGAAGAGACTCGGTGCAAATGTAAAGCCCAATCTTTAGGTCTAATTGGGCTTTCATGAGGCCCATTATAGATTTTTGGTTTACCATTCATTTGAGGCCCATGGTGAGGACACAAAGCCCAGCAACATATTTACGTCCACGGAGGGTTTAACACGTGCATTTGTTAATATTATATCTTAGGCCTATCTGATATCAATTATTTTGTCTACTCATATTATAGTAGAAGGCGGCAGCTACAGCAGCCGCCGGGTGGAAGCGAAGGTGGTAGAATTAGTTGACGGGTATAGGTATTGTCCCCTAGGAAGTGGGAGAGGAGGTGGTGGCACTGTGGCGGGTGGAGGTGGTGGTTTTGTTCCCCTATGGAAAAGAGTATTTGGACTTAGGAGACTATGAGTGCAAAATACTCAAAGTTCTAAATATGTTAGACGTCAGTTGAACAGCAGGTTAGGATCTTGTGCTTAGGCAAGATCTAGGTAGATTTATATAAGTTTTTTATCATATCGGATAAATAAGTGTCTATTTACGTTTAAAAAAATAAAAATAAAAAACCTATACTTGTTTTGGGAATAAAATAAAGATGAAATGCACTAAAGCCAATAAGCTCAGTAAGCAAATTAGCAAATTACAAATATAAGAATAGTTTTCACAATTGAATTAATTTAACAAATTCCTTTGTGTAGGATATGCGCTAGACCATCTTCAAATGAGCTGTCAAATATGTCAAATATGATTAAAATACATTTAGGTATTTTTCAATGGATATGTCATATATGATGTGGCATGTGAGTCATTTAGCTCCTTGCTTTCTAGCTGCATTTTTTGACAGCAAACAAAGAATGAGTCAAATATATTTCATTGAATTTTTTTAATACATGGTCCCGTTAACAAACAATAGAATAAAAATTACAATTATTTTTTATTATAGTTAATGTAACTCTAGACCCAATAAAATAATAAAATAGATATTTGACACATCATTGAAAAATAAGAGAATTTAGCACTTGTGTTCAATTTGCCACATCAGCCATCAAATAAAATTTTGACATATTATATTTGACATCTCATTTGGAGATGCTCTTACCCACTTTAATTTAATTAGTTAATAAAAAAAACTTGGAACCGCCTAGCATGCCACCTAGACCGTCTAGTCGCTCCTTAATTTTAGTGACCATTTTGCACAAAACGCAACAAAACTCCACCTCGCAGCGTCTAGCACCGCCTAAGCGGCCACTTAGTCCGATTTAAAACTAAAAAAAATGCTACAAGAAAAGCTAGACAATGTAAATTTGAAAACATACAAAACTACATAATCTCCTCAAAGTAAAAGCTTCTTGGCTTAAGCATTCATTAAATGCACACTTCATCCAACAAGTTGGAAGACTAGAACACTAATCTCACATTAATCAAAAATGTTTTTTGTTTCTGGCTCTCCAAAAACAAAGATGCAGCGATCATCTCAAAAATGTTGGTCCTTGGAGTTCTTTCTTGATTCAAAAAAGCACCAATTTTCTTGGTTGCAAGGCCTGCATTTATATGGCTCACGCAACCCCATTCCATTTTTCTTACTTTTTTACCACTACAAAGTTGACTGGCTGAGGAGAAGACGTTGTTAATCATTGACTAATAAAGTGATTAGAAAACTAATTTGCTGCCTCTTCCATAAACAAATAGTCATGGTAAAAAATACTTTGGTTTCAACCATCACGAAGTGATCTAGTGGTCAGGGCGAATTCTAAATCGGTATTCAATACGGTTGGTCTTGATTTCGATTCGTTAGTCTCGAAACTATCCGCTGGTCCCCTTTTAAAAATAAAAATAAAAAATGCTTTGGTTTCTACAACCTCAGTTACGTGTCTCTACGAGTATAATAGAATGGTTCATGGTTGTAAAGTTGGGTTAATGAGCCTCCCAACATCCGTTCCCTTGCTGGATTGTTCGTTGATTCAATCTGCGCTTCTGCTGCGACTAGACTCGAAATTCAACGATAAAAAATAGTAAGTTTTAACAAAATACTTCCGGTACTGTTTATTTTTAATGAAAAACCACATTTTTATCTTTAACTGGCACTATTCATTATACCTTTAAAAAAGGTTTTTCGTTAAAAGATAAGTTTTTTTTGAACTTTTCGTTAGTTTTTCTTAAAAAATAAGCACAGTAATTAATACTATTAATTTAATCAATATGTCATATGATTTACAAAATTTAATTTAGACTATTACCCTTGTTCAACAAGCTATTGTTATGCCCTTTGAATCATGGGATGTTTTAATGTGTTCAAAAGTTCAACACATGCCAAACTTTTGGCACTTTTGGAAGAAGCTGAAGAATTTGCATAATTTTGCTTTGACTTTGAATAAACCTTTTTAGCAATTTGGTACTTTTGGAAGAAGCTGAAGGATTTACATAATTTTGCTTTGACATAAACCCTTTTTGCCAGAGTGTATATACAGTAGAAATTAAAAAAATGTTATTGGTATTCCAAAATTCTCATTGTGTACTCCAATTTTTCTATATTTAGAAAGAAAAATACTTTTGTAAAGAGCGCAATGAGATTTTTGAAATGATAATAACAATTTTAAAAAAATTGTTGTTAGCACTCTAAAATAGTCGTCAGCGCTCTTATCTTCTTTGTTTTTAGAAGAAGATATAACGCATAATGGGTATTTGGAATGCCAATAACAGATTCCACAAAAAAAAAAAAACTAAAGTTTTTGACTTGCATTAAGGAAAGAGTGTAGGCAAGTATCGAGTACTTCCCCTAAAGGACAATCTTAAGTTCAATGCACCAGTCATCTTCATCTCCATCGTGCCACAAACGCCCAACTCCGATGCCTTCCATTGCATGTTCTGCAAATCTGCTCTACGCTTCGGAGTCTCTGTTGGGAGATCGAGTTTCTTCATGGAAAGCGGAATGATCTGCTTACCCTCCTCTTTCTCGTCCCTAATTTCTTTACCTGTGTCAATGAACAAGGAGTCTAGAGTCTTGAGATTGTAAGCTTCATGAAATAAGCTTCGGAGTTTTAATTGCTCCGTAGCGAAAGCTTCAACTGCTTTTCTTGGAGGAAACTTCGAATTATGAGCGAGATGTTTCAAAGCTTCCGTTGAGAGCTTTTCGTAGTTCAGTGCACAACAGATACTCATCTTCTCCTCCCTGAATAAAACAGCACGACGCTGCATAGAATCCTAAATCAGTACTCGAATTCGCGATATTAAAACATTGCAGATCATGCTTCATGCATTTTAATTTAAGTAGCATACCTTAAAATACACATCAATTGCTTGGTAAAGACCGTCGTGAGATTCTCGCGCAGAATGTGGCAGCATCGTGGCTAATGCTTCGAATTTTGAAGGATTCAGGTGAGAATCTGGTGCTACTTCTGCAAGGTACGAATCCATCAGCTTCGCGACACTTTTTAAGCGACTTTGAGATACACGATCTCCCCCTTCAAGGAGAAATGATTTCACTAACTTCAAAACCAAACTCACATCGTATACATACTTCTTGGTGCGCGGAGATGGAACGAGTAGAAAATCAATTGTTGCTTGATCCAGCTGAGAACCTATCATGCTCACTAACTTGTTTACACACTTCTTGCTAACTCTCAGGCACATAGCCGCTTGGTATATCTTGAATAAGCCTTTGACAGAAAGAAAGCTTCGGTCTAGCAGAAAAAGCAGACTGATAACAAGTTCTGTGATTTTACGCTTCTCACCTCGCGTGGCACCGATAGACTTAGATTGGTGATAATGGAAGAGAAACTTGAAAATTGTAGTATGGTCGAGCTCCTGGAATATCATCCTTCTTCCCACCTTCTCGAGTAAATCGGTGTTCAAGAACATAAGGTCTTCCACCCACCATGTTTTTCTTGAGCAGTCAGTTTTCAGACTATAACTGCTCCTTCCACTTGAAAACCGAAAACTTAAATCTTCTGACGAAGAAGCATAAGTGCTTGTAACGTACGGCGAAAAAAGCTTGGCTATGATGGAGTCTAGGAGCTTGTGCAATACTGACGATAAATTTAAGGCGGGAAGTAAATCTTGGCATTGCTTTAGAGCTACCACAAGGTTAGACCATGTCCAAAAGCTGATCCCTTCAAGAGATTTTTCGGTTTGAGACAATATGTTCGGTCTTCCAGAGCCATCACCATCGCCTCCCATCTCCATGAAATGCGCGACGCAGAATAGTAGGACAATGTTCGAGGGAGTTATCTCAATTCTTCCATTGTTGTAACAAAACCTTGCCATGAGCTCAAAACCCTCTGCGCCTCCAGGAAAGTCATGGAATATCACTTTTAGGCACCTCGATGCTCCAGTCCGTTTACCAAACAATTTTCTAAATCTACCCGAGTACGACGCCAATGTTTGCTGCAAACGTATACGAATTCAGAGAAAATTTTATCAGAATATCAAGTTGTTGCAAACTAGTGTCTCTTTCGAAGAGAGACGTACAAGAGAGAGAATATTAAGGGAAAGACAAGAAACGCATGCATACTATCATTTCTTCATTAATGAACAAGAGAAGAAAACTTTGTCAGATATCTCAAGAACAAAAACTGAAGGAATCCAGAAGAACATTTTGTGAGAGGTCACTCGCTGTTGAGATTAAATTTTTGTGTGGTCCTATACACGATGCGATTCAATGGCGGAAATTAAAGATATCGGTTTCACAAGGCCTGCATGACTACTACCTGGGTGAAAATTATTGAGGATAAAATGAATAGAAACAAGATAACGAAGCGTGACAGGCGTGACGATATGAATACTGCTCGACAAAATTTAAGAACATGTTGCAAAGGAGGAGTAAAATGGATTCATAAAACTAAAACAGCAGAATTACCAACAAAAAATGAAGAACTGAAAGTAGTTATAAAATCTCGATTGTCTTCGTTCACAAACTTGAGCAGATATGAATGATTACGAAGCGAACAGCCGAAGAAAAGAAGATTTACCTTGTCCACCATGAAAACTTCTTCGCCATTGACGTCTACTTGAAGATCGCAGCAACCTCCCATTTTTCAGAAACACACAGGAAAATGAAAATCTTGACTCAAAAGCATTACATATGGATTCTGGGAAACATTTCACTTTTCAGATTGACCCAAAAAATAGAATAGTTCAAAGTGCTGGGTTTGAAGCTGCTGTTTTTCTTAGCACATGACATCAATGATCATGGAGAAGTGAAAAGACAATGGAGGGAATAATAAGAGGCAACAAGAGAACTTACAAGAAAACGAATAATTATCTACCTTTGTACACTGTTTCTATCTCTCCTGTGATAAGCGAGATAAACAAAAAAAAAAAAAAAAAAATATATATATATATATATATAATCGGTTACAAAGCAAATTTTCTTCTGTAATGCACTATATATTTATCCACATATAATAAGCAAGATAAACATAATAAAATATACAACCAATTATAAGACATATTTTCTCGAACTAAGCATACTTTTTAATAAGTAAAGCTGTAGAACTTTATGACCCAAAGTCTGATTATTTTATTCTCCGTGACTCATGCGGCTAATTTCGTCACTGTTCTTGTCCTACGCCCTTTTCTTTTCCTACCCTAAGTCGCCATCAATTCTCTCTTTTAGTGGATGCTGGGAGCCCACAAAACCAATTCGGACAAGTGAAGACTTGGTCTCCGGTCAAAAACGATGTTCTCATCTGTAATTTCAGAAGACTGAAAATTGTATCGTTCTTGGAATTTAACAACTTGGAAGGTTAAACCAAGAGAATGCAACATAAATCAACTTTTTAATCACTTGACGAGCGAGATTGAGACAAGTGTGCATACAAAAAGAGATACCGCAGATTGTCTCCGAGTGTAAATCTATCAGTTAACGATTTCTTTGATGTCGATTTTTACTTTTTTTTTTTTTTTTTTTTATGTTGGTACGTCGATATTTTTATACTAGGAAATGAAAGAGTTCGTCTAAACCACACAATGGGCAACCTAATTTGGTGTCGAATTCGTTATCTAGATATTCGAACCTAAAACTCCTCACTTCCAAATGAAAAAAAATACCACCAGACCGTAATAAGTAGTAACTTTTTTAAAATTAGGAGAAAAACATGCTTTACAGAGTAACTTTCTGAAAAGTATCAAAATAACGAGAGTCGATGAACACTTCTCCGAACCCTTTTTCAGGGAAAAGGAAGGGAAGGAATGAAAGTAAAAGAACACTCCTTAAACCAAGAATCTGTATCGTAAACTCTTGCTACATCTGGCCTCGTAGGCAACAGAACACTCTTTTTCCACTTAAGGGGAGGAAAATACAGTTCTACAATGGTGCCATCGGAACCACGAAAATGAAAAGACAAATAGAGAACACAATGAGATGATTGTAACCAATTTTGTATGGCAATAACTATTCTCAGGAAACCGGAACAATTCTGGTGGAGGCAGGGACTCATAAGCGAATGTTGCTTGGTCGGCCTGCTTGCTGTCCCAGCTACTTGAAACGAGCAAGTTCGCCAGCAAAACTCTGAATCTCTATACCACGAAGTGATGTCGAAATGGGAGCAGGAAACACTCGAGCATTAGTAACCATTTATCTGAGGCCTTGGAGTTGGGCCCATCAGCCGAGAAAAAGGCTGTGCCCGGCCAGGAATGCCCTTTTGGCCGGCAAATCGATCAGCTAATTTTGGATCGGAGACTGATCTGGAAAATGCTTGGGCAAGCTCAAGAGCTGAAGCCGCTTTCCCATGCTGCAGGCCAACAGCATCAGGGGAAGATGGTTTTGGCTGTTCAGGCTTCCGCCAGGTCTCTGGTGATGGCGGCCTCTCCGACTGTTGCTGCGGTCTCTCAGGCTCTCTATTGTTCCTCCTACTGTCATTACGCCAGTTCTTCTGCATATCGATTCTCTCAACATCCACCCGATTATCCCTCCTATCAAATTTCTTTCCAGTCCTCTGATCAAAAGGATGATTCTCAGCTTTCTCACTGTGGCGAGAAGGATTTGCGTGCACAGGAACTCTATCAGGCCTGGCAACTTGATGTTCAACCCTTCAAACAACAGTTATTTGTTCGTAAGTAAAATACCCAAATTTCCAAACTTATATAATAGAAAATTTCTGAGATAGAAAATAAGTCGCTACTTGTCAGAATGCTGAGCTGTGTCTGGATTGGTGATCACAACATCATCAACCCCTCGCTCCTTCAAAACCTGATATACAAACAGAACAGGTTTCAGGAATGGGACATGAAACCACCACCAGCATTAAATCAAGACAATAGTACTATTAGGCAATGGTCATGACCAAATGGAACTGAAATATCAAATCTTGGATTAAAAAACTCACCAGTTCTCGTGGGCGAGCACCACCAAATAATGCAACTCTGCATCAATCACGGATTTCATTTGATGTTACTTGCAAGTATCAATGTAGAGACCCAACACCAAAACAAATAGTGCATATTCTATTGCAAATGACACCAAGAAGTAAGAGTGGAAGGGTAACGTTTCTGTCATGCTACAAATTCAATCAATGCTTCTCTAATAGCTGCTGGACTCCAAACGCAAATTGCTTAAGCAGAATAGTGCGAGAGGAGGTGGGGGTTCAGGGATAGTAGATTTAGGCTCAAATATTCATGTAACCAAAAAACAAAACAGAATTACTAGACTCTGAGAGCAACAATAGTGGCACATCTTCATCTAGAAGTCAAGAAAATAAAACATATATAAGACAATATTGACTTCATTTGCAAATTCTGTGGAACAAAAGTGGAAAACAAGATTTTAAATTTCTCCCTTAATAAAAATATATACTGTATCCAGAAATTGTACGTAACATAACCAACCCATGGGATTGAATGGCCTCAAATCAAGCCAACCTTTTTTGGAGCAACAACCGTGAAAATATATTTACTTCTATGAAGGAAAAAGTGTAATCAAAGCAGGGTATATGACAAGATAGTGGTTAACTAAACAAGCAAATTGAAACAATTTTACTTTTTATTCCGGCCGAGAATTTCATTTAGTTTTTAATTGTTGGGCTAAATATCATAATTTCCATATAACAGAACCAGAAAGGGGCCGAAGGCCCTATGCCTACTACAAGAAAAAAATGGCAATAGGACCAGAAATACGACCCAAATTCGAGAAAGTCTCAAAACTATCCAACTCGTCCAAAATATGCTCAAATTTCAGACAAAGACGAATTGAACTACCCAAGCTCCCAGACCTCAAACCAAATTCCCAGCCCAAAATTAACAACTAAAACCTTTTAAATTAACATAGTGATGCACCATACTAAAATCGCCTCAAGCCTCCAATTATTTTGAGCAGATAATTTTTTTAATTGTTATGGAGATAAGATCTCTACTGTTTCACAAATATTTAAGACACCGCATTCATCCTCCAAATTTTTACCAAGAAAAGGGATAGACTAGAAAGGAAACCACAATCAAAAGCATTGCATACCTGTCTCTTTTGGCATTTAGTTCCAAATGTTCAGGAGGCTGAGATCGGGGCTTTAAATTCAATTTTAGACGGTCCACCGCCAGTTTACCACCATCAGAGCCTGCCGAACCAGGTTTTGGAGCATTCATATATCCATACGCTTCATTGACAGTTTCCACCTGGACGGACTCGGTCACCCTCTGGGACTCCTATAATCAACCAAACAATGAGAAGTTAGTGCATTCAGTGCAAGGTGGAACCCCATAGATCCAAGAATCTCTATAACACACTTTGATAACCATGTCAATACCTGTGCATTAACAACTGGAGCTTCCAAACCCTCCAGTGGCTTTGTTCTTGGAAGTAACTTCAACTTGGGTCGCTCTACAGGTTCTGAAGACGCTGCGGCCTGCACTTCAGCCTGGCCAAATTTTCCATCAGATGGAGCAGGTTGAACCCTGTTGTTATAAACAGTTGGCCTCCTTTCTCTAAGATCTGAATTAATTGGAGCCCTAGAACTCTCGTAATCAGGTAGCTGAACACCATCATGAATTTGAAGACCCCTTTCTGCGTGTCTTGCCAAGGCTGCATCATTATATTCCTTTTCAACAATCACATCTGGCCTCTTGTAAGTATCACTACCAGAACCCTTGGAATGCAATCCACTCTCTGTTTCGGGAGATCTAACAACCTCGATATTTGTCTGGTAATTGATTGAAGGCTTTGATTGCCATCTACCCGAGGACACCTTATCGAGTGCACTGGCATGGGCCAACTTTTGAACAGCACTTTGTCCAGACCAAGAAGATTGCACCGGCTCAGATATACCCGCCATCTCCTTCCTCATTGCCCATGCATTTGGATAAGCCCCACCAACACCACGCCCGCCATTGCCACCTGAGCTCTGCGAATTACCTCCAACATGAGCTGTCTCGCTAGCCCTCTCTGAGTAAGAACTCACGGCCACACTCGGTGATTTCGGTGCTGAAGCCCACCCCTGCACGCCGGATGACACCCCTGCAGATACAAACGCCTGCTTGGGCTCGGCACGGGTCAGGGGAACCCGAATGCTATCATCGCTGATGGTCCGGCGTGGCATCGACCCACCATCAAGTGGCTTGCGCTCGTCCTCATCAAAATTCCGGCCAATGTGCACGGAGTGAGTGAGAAACGGAGTCTTGTCATCGAAATGCCTCGTGGCTGGAGACGTGTGGGGCCGAGAACGATGATCGGCCCGCCCCGTAGGATTTCCCCACGCGGTGGGTCGGTCGTAAGTTGAACGATCCGTAGGCCTAACAACTCTGCAGACCAAAAAAATCCAAAATTGGTGCGAAAATCAACTAGGGTTTTTCAATCCATCGCTCTAGGGCGAAAATCAAAGCAATTACAAAACCCAGATCCAAAAATTGGAGATTTACAGATATGAATAAAAAGCAATAGGCTTTTTCAATTCCATAATTTCCCATAACCATAAAACAAAATATATAAAAATCAGGGAAAAGGGTAAACAAGACTTACACCCCAGGAGCAGAAGGGAGAGGGAGATCAGAGGGAATCGAACCGCCATGGAAGTCCTTGAGCGTCATGGTATTCCCACTCACTTTCTTCTTCGACATCTTTCTCTCCCCTTCCTCTCTCTCTCTCTACTTTCTCTCTCAAGATCTTCCCTTTGATTCAATTTGTAGATTTTGATAGGGAGGTTGGGATTGACGAGGACAGAGATTGGATTGGAGGAGAAGAAGCAGAGGGAAAAAGCTTGGGAACTTTGAAAGATCGCCTCTCTGCTTCTCTCGGAAGAACTATTTCTCGCTTATTAGAACTCCTTCACCGCTTGCGTTCTTTCCTTCCCGTCCGTAGTGCTCGTTGGGCTCTCTATTTGATGATGATAGTGTCTTTCCCTGATGCTGGTCCTGGCCGTCCGATCATTGACCGACCTATGAAATCTACTATAAGATATTCCCTCTTTTTTTTTTTTCTTTTTTTTTCCCTCAAAATGTTTTTAAAATACATGATAAATTACATAAAACTACCTCAACTATAAGTTGAACTACAATATCATACCACATGTTTTAAAAATAACAATGTCATACCTCTATCAATTTCTCTGTTAATTTTTCTATTAAATACTGGAGTGGCATGAACCCACATCCTACGCAAGTAGATAAAAATATTAATTAAATATTAATAAATTATTTTACTATTTTTATTTAAAAACATGTGGGACCCACCCTTTCTATCTCCCCTCTCTCACATCTGATCTCTCTCATCTCCCTCTTATCTCTCTCACATCCATTCTTCACCTTCAACTTCATCCATTCTCTAGATTTCGGTGCTTAAAGCCCCCACTCATTACAAACTCACAATTTAACGATTCAAACCATAACCCCTAAATTTCTCTAATTCTTAATTTCATTTTTGATTGATTAATCGTTGCGGAAGAAGAGATGTCAGCCCTGGCTTGTTGCGGGGACGCTGTTGTGGCACCTCCCGCGTCGCCGTTCTCAAGCGTACCTCCGACGACCATCACCGCCGCTAACAATTCCCATTGGTCCCTGTCCCTCTCATCCGACCTCTACCGAATCGACGCCTGGGGCGGACCCTACTTCATCGTCAATTCCTCCGACAACGTTGTCGTCCATCCTCAGAGGAAGGCGACTCTGCCACACTAGGAGATGGATCTGCTGAAGATTGTGAAGAAGGTTTCGAGGCGCCTTTGATCTGCTCAAGAACCAACTTGAGTCAGTCTAGGGCACATTCGATCTGCGCAATCTGGTCCCAAGACTACGGCTCCCACTACCAGGGCATGTACCCAGTGAAATGCAACCAGGACCGACTCGTAGTGGAGGACATTGTCAAGTTTGGATCGTCGTTCCGGTTCGGACTGGAAACCGGGCCCAAGCTGGAGCTCGGATGTGAGAGATAGGAGAGTGGTGAATTTTTTTTCTCTTTGCCGATTTGAATGTCTAGAGGATGTGTGTGTGAGAGAGAGAGAGAGAAGAGGGAGCTTGGATGTATGAGAGAGATGAGGGAGAGATCGGATGAAATCATGAGAGGGAGAGAAAGGGGAGAAAGAATGGATGTGAGAGAGATAGGAGAGAGAGATGAGAGAGATTGGATGTGAGAAAGGGGAGGGAAATGGGTTGTTGTAATTATGGAAGGAATGAGACGGCGGTGCGGTTGAATAAGAAGTCGGATGAAGAAAACCCAGAAAAAGGGAGAGAGAGAGATCGGATGTGAGAGAGGGGAGAGAGATAAGGGGTGGGTCCCACATGTTTTTAAATAAAAATATTAAAATAATTTATCTTTAATTTATTAATATTTAATTAATATTTTTATCCACTTGGTTAGGGAGTATGTCCCGCCTCAAGTCACGTCAGCATTTAACAGAAAAATTAACAGATAAATTGACGGAGATATGATATTGTCACAAATTCAGAAGATGAGGTATGACATGGTCATTTTTAAAACATGAGGTATGAGATTGTAGTTCGATAGTTTTATGTAATTTACCCTAAAATATAAAGAAAAACTAATTAAAAGGGCTTGAAAACTTTGAGTTTTAACGATAAAAACAAAATAAAAGGTAAAATAAATAGTACCATGTTTGACTTTTTAATGTAAAAATGTGATTTTTCGTTAAAGTAAATAGTACCGTGGGTTTTTCGTTAAAACTCCCAAAATATAAATAGTAAATTTTATTTAAATATACAAACAAGACAACTAAACTAATGAAGTTTGAGAGATGCTAAAGTTGTAAACAGTTTACATTGGTTGGGCCCGTTATGGCGCGAGCACGGCATGCGGCTCTGGCCCATAATGTTACACTTACCGTCGAATTGTATCATTACTCTAATAGATGCGGTTCCACTAACACATATGGGTCAGGATGACATTTTAAGATTAGTATGACTTAATATTAGTTATATTTATCTTCATAACATGTTGAAATAAGTTTTTTCAAATTTTAAAATAATTAAAGTTTGTTTTAATTAAGTCTGTATGTTTAGTGACCTAGCCCAACACAGCTTAGTTTTCATGGGCTAGGATCACAAGCGGGATTGGCCTTAATGTTCTATTAAATGGGTTGCCCCAAGCACAATTTATTTATTAAGTGGGCCAACCCTAACACTACCCAAGCCTACTTGGGCTGACTTTAAATGAGTCGGGCCAGATTAGCCTGTTTGACATCACTAATCCCCACATAGAAGAATGCAAGCATTATCCTATATAGGGTGAACTGCCGATTTAGTCCTTAAATTATCACCCAAGTGAAAATTAGGTCCCTGAATTATTTTTTCAGAAAAATAGGTCCCTAAACTCATTATAAACAGCCAATTTCATCCTTGTCGTTACATTTTAAGTTTTTCCATCTAATTTTCTGTTAACTTAGCATGTGACTTGCACATGACATGTAAAAGGGTAAAATCATCATTTGGGTGAAAGGAGAGACAACGCTGCTTCATCCACAATTTCATCCTTACCCTTTTTCATATATCACCAGGACTCTTTCAAGAGAAACGAGAGACAGCGCTGCTTCGTTCCTTGGCTTCTCTTGGCTTCTCTTACGATTTTGAAACTTTTGTTGAAAAAATTCTCAAACAGAGACAAATCTTGACGAATTTTCAACGTTGGTTGAACGAAGAGATGTCTTTCCAACTCAGAGATGGTGGGGAGCCTCCACGTTACAGTAAGAGTACTTAATTTGGTTCATCAAATGAATTTTTATTATGTGCTTAATTTGGTTCAATAAAAAATCAAGTTATGTTGTTTATTTCTATGTTTGCAGAGATTCCCTCATTGTACTAGGTTTTAGGGATTTTAATACTCTCAAATTAGGTTTTTTTTTTTCTTTTTCTTTTATGTCGAATTGGGTGGTCCTGATGAATTAAATTGGTGTTTGTGTGGTCCTATTGTTTTCATACTTGAATGCGCTGGTTTTTATTCGACAAAAAAAAATTGAATTTTTAGGTTTGCGGTTGAATTTTGGGATTTGGGGTTTTGCTGACTTAGGGGATTTGTGGTATTTAACTCTCCTTTTACTGACTATGCAGCTGCAACAGACTTATTCTCCCTTGAAATTCACCATGGGGGTTATTTAGTGGATGGCTTTTACTTGGGGGAAAAAATGCATTGGAAGGACAATATTAGTAGAGATTGTATAACCATGTGGGACTTATGGGAGCTAGTAGAGTATCTTGGGTACAATAAAGAGACCACAAAGTTCTTTTATAAGAAGAAAAGGAAATGATGGGTTCCTATTACTTGTGATGCAGATTACTTTCAATGTGCAAAATGTGTAACCAAAAGAAGCATAGTAGTGATTTACCTCACAGATAAGTCACAAGAAGTGCAGAATATAGAGATTCAAGCATCATTGCAAAATGCTATAACTGATATCAATGTAGAAGATGTTATTCTGATTGAGGGTTCACATGTTGCTCAAGAACCTGGTTATGTAGACCTTGAAGGAGAGTATGTTGCAGATGATGAGTGTGATGAAGAGGATGATAGAGAAGAATATGTAGTTAATGGTGGCGCCTTGGTGGATGCTGAGTTAGAAGTTGATGATGTTGTTGATGAAGCAGAAGAACCTGATGAAGATGATGAAGATTTCAGGGACAGTGATTATGAGCAAAGTGAGGATGAAGATGACAATAAGTTTCACAAATTTGTTGTACCAGAAGATACCGAAGAGCAGTATAAAGAACCAGGTGAGGAGGAAACATATGAGTATGATACCGAGGAGTTTGATAGTCTGCATGGGTCTGAATCTGAGCAAGAAAATAAGTTGAAATTGTCGAAAAGTTTAGAGGCCCCAAGATTTAAACAATATAATAGAGATCATGACTTAAGAGATCCAAAACTTTGCTTGGGCTTAGAATTTCCTACTGTTGGAGAGTGTAGAGAAGCTTTAAGGTACTATGCAAATGGTTGTGCAAGGATGGTTAGATTTGAGAAAAATGACACTGTTAGAGTTAAGATGGTCTGTAATGGTGAATCTGAAGAAGGACCTTGTCCTTGGAAGGTGTATGCAAGCAGAGTTAAAAGAGGGCCGACTTTTAGGATTAAGACATTCATTGAATGTCATACTTGTGGTAGAGAGGAAAAGGCAAAGTTTGCAACTTCAAGTTGGTTGGCTGAAAGGTTTGATGAGGATCTTAGGAGAAATCCTAACATGTCTGTTCCATATTTCATGGAAATGGTGAGAAAGCACTACAACATTGATGTGACTAAGGATCAAGTTTACAAAGCTAAGTCATTTGCTGCTACAAAAATACAAGGAAGCATTGAGGAGCAGTATGGTAAATTATGGGATTATTGTCATGAGGTCAAGGTTCAAAATCCAGGGAGTACGGTGCTAGTGAAGACAAAATTGAGGGGTGATGATCCTGTTTTTGAGAGGATGTATATATGCTATGATGCTTGCAGGAAGGGATTCATAGAAGGGTGTAGGACTATGGTTGGGTTTGATGGCTGCCACATCAAGGGAAACCATCCAGGTCAACTTCTTAGTGCTATTGGGATTGATGCTAATAATGGCATGTTCCCAATAGCATTTGGTATAGTTGAAATTGAGAATAAAGAGACCTGGACTTGGTTTCTTGATATTTTTTTCAAAGATGTTGGCATACTTAATGGAAATGGATGGATATTTATTACAGACAAGCTGAAGGGCTTGGGACTAGCTATTAAGAACTTAATGCCTGATGCAGAGCATAGACATTGTATTAGGCACCTTCATAGCAATTTCAGGTCAGATGGTCATGGTAGTTTGGCACTTAAACAAAGGCTAGGGGCTGCAGCTAGGGCCACTACTATTCCTACATGGCAAGGAGAGATGGATAAGATCTTGGTGCTATCTGAAAGTGCATATGACTGGTTGGTAAAAAGGCCAGCTAAAAATTGGAGTAGGTCACACTTCTCCATTGGTTCTAAGTGTGATATTTTGCTAAATAATTTGTGTGAGTGCTTCAATTCTAAAATTCTAGAAGCAAGGGACAAGCCCATATTGATAATGCTACAAAGAATTCATAGTTACTTGATGTTGAGAATGGCAAGAAAAAGAGAAGAGAAATGGCATCGAAGGGTTGGACCTAAAATTGTTAAGATTTTGGAAAAGATTGCTCAAGAGAGTGGATCATGCATTGCTCAAAATGCTGGGGGAGGCAAGTTTCAGGTGACACACATGTATGGGGCGCAATATGCAGTGGATTTAAATAGACACTCATGTTCATGCAGAAAATGGGACCTATGTGGTATTCCTTGTTGTCATGCCATGGCTGCAATTACTAGACAACAGAGGAGTCCAATCGACTATGTGAACCCAGCATACAAAAGAGAGGCATATGACAAAGCTTATGGGAATTTTATCTCCCCAATGCCTGGCCAAGATTTGTGGGAAAAACTGGTAATAGACCCATTAAGCCTCCTTATTACCAAAAGCAAACTGGAAGACCAAAAAAGAGTAGGAATAAAGAGCAAGATGAGATACTAAAAGGTGCTACTAAATTGAAGAGGTATGATATAATCATGCACTGCTCAGTTTGTGGCTCAGATGCACATAATTTTTCCAAATGTCCTCTAAAACGAGGAGAAGGTAGCAACAATGGACAAGTAAGTATTTAATATTGTAAACCATGTATTTCTTCCATTGATATATTTAACTAATGGAAACAATAAATTCTTACATGCAGGGAAAAGGTAGAGCTAGAAGGACAAGGGGAAGGGTATGATTTTTTTGTAGTATACTTGCAATCAATTTGATTTTGAAATGAGAGAAATTAATTACATGAGGTGTTTGTGAATATCTTTTTTTAATTTTTTTTCATTTGGTACAGCCCACAAGTGCTAATCCAAGGCAACCATCAGAGACAAATACAACCTCTAATGATGCATCCCAAACTAGACCATTGAGGAAGGCCAAGTTACAAGTTGTAAGCACATCTTCTTCTTCTTCTTCTTCTTCTTTTTTTCTCTTTTCATGAAATTGAATAAGTGATATTAATATTCAATGTGCATGGAAGTAAGAATATATGTTTGATATTTGCATATAGGGTCGTAGAGAAAGTTTAGTTAAAAGAGGAGGCCATGTTGCCCAGACTACAAGGACTATAAGTGAAGGGGGATCCCAGCACCAATCTGTGATGCATCCAAGAGGAAGCGAAGCAGTGCTACAAGGCCAATCAGTTATAACTGGAGAACCAAGAAGGTTCAAATCTGCAGTGAAAAGAGCAAGGACTTGGAGACCATGAATGTTCAGATGTTGTGTTTTGTAAAAGACAATTAATGACTTGTTTTGTAGAAGGCAGATAATGACAAAGTAAACACTGCCTAGGACTTAAGAAAGGCAGTTCATGACTTGCTTTGCTTGCCTAACCTTGTTTTGTTATGTTATTGGCATGATGTGGAATTGGTGCCTTAGATTTTATTTTTGGATCGAAAATAGAGAAATTATGGTATAGAATTATTTTAATGAAATTTGTTGTTGAGAGTTGAAATTATTTTCATGAAATTTGCTTTGGGATGGCCAAATCGAAAGCCCTTAATGTTTATAAGATTCCCAGCTTAAAAAATTGCAAATTAGGCTTTATAAATTTCAAAATTTGGGAAATTTTGAGCGGGAAAACAGAGGAGATGGATGTTTCTCTTGGTTGTGTTTCATGAGCAATGAAATGACGATTTTATCCTTCAAATTGTGTCATGTGCAAGTCACATGACCTAAGTTAACAGAAAATTGGATGGAAAAACTTGAAATCTAACTGCAATGATGAAATTGGCTATTTGTAATGAGTATAGGGACCTATTTTTCTGAAAACATAATTCAGGAACCTAATTTTCACTGAGGTGATAATTCAAGGACTAAATCGGCAGTTCACCCTCCTATATATATATTAGGTAAGTTAGTTTTTGATCATCCTCCCCGTATCCTGAATATCAATTTGTTAAGGGGGTGTGATATCCACACACCTCTTTTTACTTATCTCACACATTTTTTATTTTCAGCCGTCGGATCGGATGAATTGAAGAAGATCAACGGACATAAATTAACAAGGGGTGTTTGAGAAGTAAAAATGGGTGTGTGGATAGCACACCCCTTTGTTAAATGTATTTTGCTTAGTTAGATCTAGTCCTTGGATTTTAGTCATAAAAATTAATTATGCTGAATTCTAATTAGAGAAAAAAATTAGATGATAAAATCATATTTCCAGTAAATTAAATTATAGCCAAAATTCTTAAATCCTAGCCCTTTTGCGATTTGCATGTATGCAAAACTTTGAGAATGCTCTTCAATCATGGTATTTAATATAAAATGAAAAGAATGCCTCCATCAATGAGATTTTTATGAGAATATCTCCGTTTATATGGTATTCATCCAAAAGCAGAATAAATTAAAATCACAGTCCACATCCCATGAACATGATTTTCAGTCCTTTTGTGGTGTGTATATATAATTAAGAGTATTTTGTTAAAGCGATTATGAACATGTTTAGCAAAAAAAAAAAAAGGTTATAAGTGTTTTAAGGTGAAGCACATAAAGTTTTATTTTCAAAAAATTATTGCATTTTTATTAAGCTAATGCGCTGTGTAACAATGTGATTGTCGCTCCCAAAAATTTAAATAATGTGGCTAATTAGTAAATGTGATAATAATAATTAGATTCTAATTTAAATAGATTTGCAATCTATTAGAGAGCCATTCACAATTAGACACCAAACTTACCCCTTATGTACGTCCACCATTAAACGACCACACATTCTTCCTCTTTAAAACGACGTCAAAAAATAAAAAACTTGCTGAGCTTTCGTCTTCGTACTCCAACCACTCACTCACCCATCGGCACGCCGTGGTTTTGCGGGTCGTTTGATCAAACAATGGAGTCGAAGTCGATCACGTGGGATTTGGTGATCGGCATTGCGACGGGGTTCGCATTAGGATTGTTGGTGGGAATGGTGGCGCTCTGCTGGGCCAGAATCCGTGGGAGGAGGTGTAGGCGCATACAATCACAGAAGTCCATTTCAGCCCAGAAAGAGACGGCGGCAGCCGCAGTCGCAGGCAAGGGAGTGAGTAACGGTGGTGCTGACTCCTCCAGCAGCACCATCACCGTCTCCGAGCTCTCGAAGTTCGGGCAGGACTCCCCTAGAAATTCGGAGTGGAACAACATGCCCATGTGGCTGGAGGGACTCCGGCGGAAGAGCCTCGCGTCCGCTTGCGGTATTCCCAAGTATTCTTTTAGGTATGTATGTTTGTAAACGCGTATATTCTGTATGTATTCTGAATTTTTGTATGTCTGGTTATTTACGGAAGTGGGTCCTGAATTTGCACGCATGTTTCACTTTGGTCCTTCAATTAAGTTTTTCTTTATCATTTATTTTAAAAGCACACTCCAATTGCGTCACGTGTCTCAATATTAAGTTGACACGTTAGAAATGGCTACTGGCACAACGGGGTGGTGCTTTACTGCACCGCGAGAAATTTTTCAATGTGACAATCACACGAGGTGGTACACCACGTGTTCCTATATAAATAGTGGGTTATGTGTGTTAAAAAGTTAATAACTTAAAAATTAAAATTTTCCACCACTTACATAAAAACACGTGATGTACCATTCGTATTCTCGTCATAACTAAAAAATTCTCCGTGTGAGGCAATTTTAAACCATAGAATTTGATGGACATTATTCAACATGTACAAATATGAGAAAAATATGCCATAATAATTTAGTATTACACTCGCCACCACCTATGAGATTTGTCATCTATGAGATTTATCAGAAGCCAATCTCACAATTTACCTTTTATTTGTGGAAAATTATTTATCAGATTTTTTTTTTGTTTGTTTTGGCAGAGATATACAGGAGGCAACTTATAACTTTGCAACAATGATTGGGCAAGGAGCTTTTGGACCGGTTTACAAAGCCCAAATGAGCACTGGTGACACTTTTGCCGTCAAAGTTCTTGCTTCAAATTCCACCCAAGGCCAGAGCGAGTTTTTGAGTGAGGTAAATTCATACATTCATAACACAAAGATACTGATGGGATGCATTGGTGTAATATGCATCGGTGTTTGAATGGTTATATTAAGCCGTTAAAATCCAACCATGTAAATCTAGCAGTCAAATATATCGGCGTATTCATACTTCGATTAATTGCATTGTAAAATCTTCTAACATTCATTACGCATGTGCATATATGTGCGTGCAGGTTCTGTTACTTGGAAGACTACATCACAAGAACCTTGTCAACTTGGTCGGATATATTGCAGAAGTTGAGCAACATATGCTTCTTTATAAGTACATGAGCAACGGCAGTCTGTTTTCTCATTTGCATGGTAACAACTCTCACAAAACCCTAGATTTTTCATCCCGCAACGCGCCAGTTTATTTGATTTCCTAACACCAATAGACACATCTTTTATCGTTTAGAGCCTCTTGAATAATTTCAAGAAATATGTGCAAGTATAACCGATGGGACACTAAGCATGTAATAACTGTACATAAACCTGAGTTTAGTGCTCATTTGGTTTAGTACCGATCCTTCACCTTACGGTTATAATTTTAATTAAAAGTTTGTAACCAGCTTTATTGTTCATATCTCGATAATATTTTAGTTTTGTTCGACACCAAGGAAACTCAATTTAAGATTCATCTGTTTGGAAATGCAGATGAGAACCATAAGCCATTGAGCTGGGATTTGAGAGTTAACATAGCTCTTGACATTGCGAGGGGATTGGAATACCTGCATTATGGGGTTTGCTTTTCATATCAGTTTCCTGCAAGTCAACACCACTGATTTGGAACTGCCTACTTAAGTACTTATCCATCTCCATTCTCCTTCTTATTACAGGCCGTTCCTCCTGTTGTGCATCGCGACATCAAGTCTTCGAACATACTGCTGGATCGATTGATGAGGGCTAGGGTATGCGACTCGCGCAGAACATTTTTGGTTTCTGAAATCTCTCCTGTTTTTGGTAGTGTGCCGATGAGGGTAATTACTCTTAACAATTAAACAGGTTGCTGATTTCGGGCTTTCAAGACAAGAAAAGAATGAAACTCGTTCGTCAAATATCAGGGGGACATTGGGATATGTCGATCCTGAGTATGTGTTGACGAAGATGTATACGAAGAAATGCGATGTTTATAGTTTTGGAGTGCTGCTATTTGAACTTATTACAGGCAGGAATCCGCAGCAGGGTCTCATGGAATATGTGGAACTTGTAAGAATTCTCTCTCCTTTTCAAAAACTAGAAGTAACGGTATAAGATTCGCATTGTATGACTATTCATGCCGATTTCTAGGCTGCTATCGACACGGAGGATAAACTGCGGTGGCAAGAGATTGTGGATCCCCGCCTTGATGGAAAATTCAACGCAGAACAACTCTCTAACGTTTCTGATCTTGCGTCCAAATGCGTGAGTAGTGTCTCCAGTAACCGGCCTTCGTTGAGGGACATTGTACAGACATTATCGTTGATTTTGACGACGATGCATAACATGGGGAACCACACGCATTGCTCAACTCCTGCAACTGAAGAAACTTTCATTGAAATAGATCTGCTGGAGAATGAAGATGTTTTGATTGAACGTTGAGGGGGACAAGTTGTTACCAAACTCATAACCTCAAGTCTTGGAATTGTACATCGAACTTGTTCATTATTCTTCTTCGTCTTTTATTTTGTTTTCGCTTTCAATCCACTTACTTCGTGATTTTAATTTTCGTTGTTAATTACTTTGAGATTTTATTTTCTTTTCGGAGAACAATCATGTAGATTAACTTTATCGTTCCACATAAGTAAACATGTCGTAATTACTCGGTGGGAGCACCTTTTCCATAGTGCAGGATTGAAAAGGGAAAACACAAGTTTGCCAGTATAAGGGGAACCACATGTATTTGATACATCATCATTCGACGGTCAGAGATGATACTTGTACACCATTCTTGTTGTTCAGCAGAAAAGCAAGCATCTAATTCTCATCAGAAAGCAACAAGAAGCCGCTGTTACTTTGTTGTTGCTGCTCGATTTTATTACCGTTTGCCAAACTCAGCAAATTAACAAAGAACGTATGGTAAGCCAGACGATAGATAGATGGCTAGCTAGCTAGAAACACGCGGATTAGACACATGTTGTGATCCATATAACAGGAGGATCATAAGCCAGCGAGACTCAGTTTTTCTAGTTCTGCAGCAACCCCTTGGCCTTGAAGTACTCCACAGTTTGGTCATATATTTCTTCGATGCCATACTTAAAATCGAACC